TACGAGTAATTTCTCGGCTTATTGATTGAATTAGAAGCAATGTATATTTTTGTTTCAAAAAGCTGTATGTTCAACTTCAGACCAAGCTGTCTTTCGGGAATCCAATTTAAGGGCCTTGAACTTCTCCGCTCGTGAATCTAATGTCGTCATCTGTAGCATACCTCGCACCCAGTCCGTTAAGTCATCATAATCAGATTCCTGCGACGTCCTCGAACAACGGTTTACCAGATCTTTGTTGAATAATTCCATCGTAAACAGTTACGCCATTCGCAGTTTGTACAGGGAATAAATTAAAAATAAAATCTACATCGAACGAATAAATCACTGCACTGTTTAAGTATTTGTTATTCTAGGCGGACTAAAATTTAAAAACGTGCTGCCGCAACAAGTCATGAGATGTACAATTATACCATTATGAAATTTCTAATAACGTTCACTTGTAATTATTTTACTCAAAATAAAACAATAATTTACCCTATTTTTTTCTTTCCGCTGGACGTTAATAAAACACGACACAACTGTTTTTGATTTGCACCAATAGCGGTCATATTGCTATGGACAAATTATTTATGAAAATTACAATTGTATGCACTTTGATTCGGAAGATTATTACAACTGTGTCACTGTCGGATTTCTAATTCGTATCATTTCATATTTGATACTTTAGAAATCGACCTCGCCTATGACAAAGTCCTTGGAAAAAAAGTGGCTTTTTCAATTGCTTTATAACGTTTAGATGTCCTAATTTGTTACACGTATTTTGTTGTAAAGTAATTCGATCCATTCTACACGAGAAAAACACATTTTTTAATAACATTTCTTGCGTGATGATTAATTTTTTTACAATTTTTATCTGTAACTTTTATCATTCAACTCTATATTAGTAGGAAACAAACAACGATGATACTTAGTAGTCATTGGTATTTGCTAAGGTCGTCGTAATTTAAACATTGTCATCAATGAATTGTTAACTTGACCGTCGTCTTGGTAATCTTTTGGCGGATCGTGACCTCTGATGGTCATGGGGTGACTAATCGAGCAGGACATAGGTGGTAGGGAATTTCCAACTTGCGGTTAAAACTCGTTATGAAATGAGATGTTTTAATAAACGGTTATAAATTTTGAATAAGTCCTAATGGCGCATATTAATACACATACCTACCTACTCATTGGAAAAGTAAAAGAATCTCGTACGCCTTCCTGTCGTATAAAATCACTGTGTTGGGAAATTTCATCGATTAACATAAGATGAAATTTTGCATCTTGAGACACGTTTTGTGTACACTGTGGCGCCAGGTCTTAATATAGACGCAGTTACAACAATAAATGCCTGTATGTTCATAATTTAAAAAGTGGACACGTGTCCTCCACGGCACCAGTTTAACGGTTAATGATGTAGCCAGAGAAAATAAATGGGCTAAACAATTTACATTTATTCGTCAGAAAAACCTGAGTGAGAAAACATTAGGGGAAATATTAAAATCTAGTGACGATAAAAAAATCATGATACTCTAACCGAATGGCACGTCAATTATCAACGCACTTTCATGAAAATTTCTCACCCTATAAATGACCGGCGGCAGTGTAGTTGTGTAATTTTTGTGACAAAAGAATAATCGCACACTACGCCCGGAGTACCGAATACTCAGGACACGAAACCATTGTCCGAAACTCATCATTTATTACCGTGACCATTGAGTTTGGATTGCTTTAAGAATAACAACGACGCCTCCGTTAATGACACACGGCGTTCGAGCTCAGTTGCTAATCAATGATAGAAGTGCATTAACACGGCTATAATTTCACGAAGAACTACAGTGACTACTCAAAGGCTTACTGGTTGCCACCAACTTATTGAAAATGTATAAAAAAATAATAGAATTCATAAATCTTAATTAAAGTAACAACCCGGAATTTTCTCCTGGTTATTATTATATGGAGTCATTCAGCAATTGCATATCGTTAAACTATACCGTTTCACATTTATAACAATATTATTTGTTACTGCCCACGCCGCATAATCGTAATGTAATAGATATTATGTACAAGCGAAATGGTGACGTATTTGCGGGTGACCTGAAAGAAATTAGGTTAGACGACCGCAAAGCAAGTCCAAGGTAAAGTTCATTGTATTAGTAATGATAATATTGAATGATTAATTTTGTAACATAAAATATAATGTAAACACACACGAAGAAGTGTATTCAAACGTGGTGTATGTTGAATGTTAGTACCGTGTGACGGCTCGTGTATTTGTTGAAGCCGGGAGACTTAAACGCACTAATCTCTGTGTATACAACCGATTAGTTTTACACACGTATTATATACTTACGAAAATGTTTATAAAAAGTCTTATAATAAATAAGAAAATTCATCGCGAAACGTAATACGAGAGCGGTTTACTTTTTTTTTGGATTTATACATTTTTACTGGCCAGCCGTAACATTGTGCAAGTCACTGCCGTCGTCACGCGCCTTTAGCCATTCGCCTACGCGACCGGCCACGAAAAAGAAACCATACATTGACTTGTCCACTGATGTTTATTACTCGGCAAGATAATATTAATATTAATAAGGAAAAAAAATGAGAATAAAAAAAATAAAGAATACAAAATCAACTGATCAAACGCAAAGTATAACAGTCCGCTGCAGTTGAAACAGAAGTGTTTGCTTTTACGTTGCGATTGTCGATTCTGATAATTGTATGTTTGGGTAATTAATTAAAAGAAATGCACGCGCGCTAGAGAAAGCAATGCCGGTGGTTTTTAGTTTTTTACCGAAAGCAACTGCGATAATTAGTCCATACATAGTGAACTAACGAACTTAGTAGAGTAATTATAATGCGTTATTAATTTCTCAGCATTAAACACCTACCTATACGTATTGTTTTATGTTTACCGAGGAAAGCGCAAAATTGTATAATATTAGTTCAATCCATCGGAAGAAAAAACTACGATAATAAAACATCAATCGGATATTTACACGCGTGTTTCAGTCATCGCATCAAGTTTTTTATTTTAAAGAAACTTTATATTTGTTCACTGTAAAAAATTTCCATTACTGATTTAATTAGTTTAGGTCGTATAAATTTGTAAATCAATTGAGATTATACTTTATTATTAAAATAATAATTATTTAGAAAATAAATGATAGAAGACATACATACTTAAAACTATCAGAATTCTTTAGTCTCAATGAAAAAATATTTTTGATTTCAAGCTGGAGATAGCCTAATATTTGAGGTATTTCTAACATGAATTTTAATAAACTGAGTAAGTAACAACAAAGAGTATTTTACCTTTAGTTATTGTCGAATTATTAAAAAAATATATATATGTACTAGCTAATCGAAATTGTTTAAATATTATGAAATATTTGTTTGTGTTTGTTTAATTGTCATACTATATCAAGCAGGTAAAGAAAATATCACATTTTCACTTAACAATGACTTGTATATTATAGCCAAATGGAAAATTTAGATTAAAGAAAAAACAATCCAATAAAAAATACTTTTTATTTATGTTAAATGTAAATAAAAATAGACTTCAATCTTTCATTCATTCATAACAACCGCGATTTCTCGGTGTTTTCTAACAATTTTTGTTACAAAGGGTGTCAATGCTTTACGGATATCAGAGACGGGAAATCCTTCTCATCTATGATAGATGACGTTTTCATTTATTTAGGTGACAATTTTGTAAACAATAGACGAAAACTACATAAATATATTCATCAAAACCTTTAATGCAACAGTACTCCATAGAGTATGTACTTTATATATTCCTGTAGTGGACATAATTTAACTTACTATATCTTTTACTATAAAAGTAATATACAGAGTGTTCATTAAGTAAGGAAACAGGTCAATTTTTACAAACACTGAAAACAATAGAAATCCGTTTCCTCAATTACTGAACATTTATGTATAATTTTTTACTAAATTAAAGTGTCCACGCTTTTATACCACTGAATTAAATGATATCAAATATTTGATAAATTTTTATAGAGATACTATATTTTTACAAAATTATAGATTTAAGATCATTTAGAATAATTACGTCACTTCTTAGAGTTAGTTTATATTATGTTGAAATCCTTCCAATCATTAAAATAATGTTGATAAAATCAGATATTTCTTAGTTTAATATATAATGTTTTGTTTAATAGAAAACATTCTGTAAAATATATTTTTTCATTTTCGAATAAAAAAACAAATCTAGAGTTACAAGTAATGTTAGATCGAAACTCGCCATTTAACTTCTTATTGAAATGTGAGTTTCAAAATACTACATTCTCAAATAGTACTAAGCTACTTGAAAAATAAATTCCTTTCATACAGTANCAAATCTAGAGTTACAAGTAATGTTAGATCGAAACTCGCCATTTAATTTCTTATTGAAATGTGAGTTTCAAAATACTACATTCTCAAATAGTACTAAGCTACTTGAAAAATAAATTCCTTTCATACAGTAACCCAAGAAGTCAATGTAAGTGTCCGTAACACTCATAAGAAAACGTATTGCTTAACTGTATCGAACCGCATTGCTACAATACTTAAACGTAATGATAACAATCCATGACTAAAAAATGTTTTATTTCAAAATTAACTTATAAATAGCTGAATTATTGATATAAAATAGATTAGAGTAATACTTATTGGACAAATAATTGATTTATCAATAATACGTCAAAAATAATTTCGTTGAATTATTTATTTTTATTTGGTAATATTATTATCTTATGGTATACAGGAGGGTGTACAGTAAGTAAAGAAACGTGTTTTTATTGTTCTCGTTGTTTAATACGATTTACTTGTTTCCTTACTTGCTGAACATACTAAAATATGAAAAGAATAAATGGATTTTTGTATTCTATGATTTATATATTTTTTATAGTTCAAGCCGGGAAAGTTCTTTTACGGGTATTGTAGCGCTTGAAGACTTCAAACATACTGGTGAGTGTATTTTAAAATATTACAATATTGTGTCTAGAAAAACTCACCTTCTATCTCTGACTCGTTTTTGGGTGCCATTCGTGCCCCTTATAGTCCTGTATAGTGACATCATGCTGACGGTGTCGCGTACGCGGCACAAGACGAACACACGCGGATAAACACGCGGACGGCGACGGTGTGCGGCGGTGATCACTTGAAGTAGTAAACGATGCGAACGCACGCGATCGAGTATTCTTCTTCACTCCTTTCCCTTTCGTAGCACCCGCGTGTTACCAACAATTAAACACACACACTCCACACTGCAGCAGCAGTTCAAAGGGAACAATAACAATAATATTAGCCAAGTAATAATTTATAAGGCATTAAGATTAATCTTGGACGAAGATACGCTGTTCTTTATTTACCACTCTGTTGTGAAGATAATAATCGAACACACACATACACACCGGTTGTCGACGACCACGACGGACCGTCCGGCTTTAATTGTCACACGGCGTACAGTTTTCTCTTTCTAACTCGCTCTCGTGTAAAACGCTCCAGTACACCCCTCTCGAGTCCCCACCCTGTTCTATGCCGTCAATGCTGCGCGGCGACTCGATGCGACATTGGCGGGTCGTCTGCCTGTTCCAACGCGATAATAGTACGCAATACTGTCCACGATCGTACAGCCTCTTGATCCACCGCCGACTTCACCGCGGTACATTAATATGACGTGTGTAAAAGCTGCAACACATGTGGTTTTTGCGCAACACACCATCCGACGGGCAAATGTCATAATTATTACTACCGTTAAAAAACTGTCAGCATTCGTTGTCTGTACAGAATCAAATAAAACTGTTGTATTTAAAACATGATGCTATTTAAATGAGTGTCGCCTGACACGGGAATTATAAATAATAAGTTAAAAGGACGCACAAGAAATAAGATAATATTAAAATATTTTCTTATTATAAATATGCAATCTAAATTAAGTTATTGCAGTCTGCATCGAGTTAAAAAAGCTTGAAAATTTCAAAACTTGTAACATTTTAGTCCGACAGACAATATTTTTTGTCAAAAGACTTCTCATTATCTTCGACAAATATGACAGCATTAAGCTAAACTGACTTAATGACATATTTTACTATGGAAACGTAATAAAGTACATTTTATCACATTTTGTGTTATGCGTACGGCCGGCACTGTTCCGTAAAGATAAAATGTTTTTTTTTATTTTTAAGTATACTGTATAAAAAAGAAAAGTATTATTATTTTATTATTAACATAATTATTATGAGCAAGACGAGTAACTAACTTGAATGAAAAGTAATTGTATACTTATAGGCGTGTTAATTAAAAATGACTACTTTTGTTTTTTAATATGATTACCGAAACAACTCATATCTTGCGCAATGTTTTTCAGTACTTTCTGGAAAAAACATATTGAATATGAAGATCAGACGAATATGTTTTCGACACAAAATAAAGTAATATTAATCAAGTTCTTTACACTTAACAAATAATACAGTTTTTTATGGTTATTTACACATATCGCCAACGACTTTATTACTAAAACTTTATTCAAATTTCTATTGATGCTTCAAAACCTTGGCAACTGCATTTAGTTTTGGCCTACTTGCAATAAACGCATCGTAAGTACATTGTGACTAATGCAGGTGGCATACGCTCATCGTAGAGATGAATTAGAAAAATATCGCGGTCACCGATAATTATTTTGCAACAGTTAAATGCAGAGGTGGTATGAAATAATACGATGTTCGTGTCGCTTTAAAAGTGTTCATTATTTAATCTAGCACTTAATTGTTTTAATTGAAATTAAATTTCATCTTCGTGAGTTTGAAATATGTAGTTCTTACGCAATGTTTGTATGCTTAACGTAATGTGCTGTGTTAAAACACAAATCACCGAAAAACAGGTTTAAATATTATTATTTACAAGATAAGCTCAAAGAAACACTTTGCTTGATATATTAGAAAGACCGTCGCTATCACATATTGTCAATAAAAAAAGCCAAGGTGGTTTTTTTAAAAGTCTTAAATATTCAGGTTGTACAAAACAAGATACATGGATGTTATTATAAATATTGTTAAAACTACTTGATTTTTAACTTTTGAGTCATGACTCATTCAATGTTGTCAAAATACACATTTTTTATGAATTATTTAATTGATAAACAATCAATTTAAAATATTTAAATAGATAAAGTAACAGTCAATAATATAAATACATTTCAAATACGCTGTATCCAATATTATACAGAAATGATCACTTTTATTTATTATTTTACAATAGTGAGTATTTGACTATTTTGTTGTGAAAGTAAGTATATTTTAATTTATAACAGTGTAATTTATGATCACTAACAATATGTCGCTGATATTATTTATAACTGTTGAGAATTAAGAAACGCCAATGAGTCGTAATAAGTAAAAACTTTTATTATTTTTTTTGGATACTGAGTCATCATTCATATAAAATTATGATTAAATAAGATACTGGTTGTCCTTTAGTTGATATAAAAATAATATATTCAGATTATTTAACATAAAAATAGTATCTGAATGATATTACGTCCTTCCATCAGTTAGCATAGAGATATCAGCGTTTTTAACCGTCACGTATGATGTTAATAATTTAACCATAGGTGTAAAGTTACATAGTATTTTTTGAATCCAAAGAATGCAGTTTCTACATAGTACTAAGACGTATACATTTTAATTAATACTCTAAATCATGACAGTACTCATCACAAGAGACTATTATGAATAATTTATACTAAAAAAAAAAAAAACAACAACAATATAAGGTTTGGAATTCTATAACGTAATTAATACGTCAAGACTGAAGGGTACTTTAGGCTTAATTACATCAAATAGTATACTTCTACTCCAGACATATCAAAACGTTGTTTGTGAGTAGTGCTTAGGAACCGGCAATAACTTGATGGTAGCTTGAGGTGCTTGTGAACAAAGATGCTCTATGAAAGTGAAACACTCATAATAAGAAGTAGTTATATTTTATTACTCAATGACAAAAAAAAAATTAGTAATTTGTTGAAACAGTAATAAAAACTTAATGACTACTACTAAATAGTTAAACAGTTGTTTAGTTGATTACATTATAAAATGTGTAGTTATTGGTTTTTTTATTAGAGTGTCTACTTAAAGTAAAAATATAGAAATTTTGAAGATAACACTCGTCAAATGAAGAATACGACTTATTATTAATTTTCTTTCCAAGTATTATTAATTACATTTGTTATCATCAAAACTTTATTTTAAATATAATAGAAATTCAAAGTCATAAAATTGTTGGTATCGTTTGAAATATTACAGTCCCTTAACTAGTAATAACAGATTTTGCCTTGATCAAGATTGGGACGTGGGAGGAACTAGGAAATCAAGTAACGTGACAAAAATTTATTTTGGGGAGCAAGTACGTTTTGACCAAAAAAAAATTTTTTTATTTTTGTAAAAAAAAATTAATTTAACTCAATTTTATTGGAAATTTGAGCTGGTTGATGTCATTTTTCCTCGAATAGCGTCATTGTAATTATATTTTAAATTATCGACTTCATCATACGTTTCTTTCAATTTAATACAATTTAAAATTTTTTGATAAACAAATATGTATAAAAATCATAAAATATACATATTTCTATAAATAAATATATCTCTGTGCGAATAAAGATACTGTTGAAATCGATACGACGTCTTATTTTATTCTTAAAGTGACATAAATCACATTTTTATAGATATGTGCTTTCGAATAGAAATATATGTATCACGACTAGAAAGTTGTGCATCTTTATACCTCATATATGTAAATAAAAAAACAAATATGAATTTTATGTAAGTGCATTAAACGAAGTTAACACGACCTGAAAATAATGATAAACATATGTTATATATGTATATTAAGTAATTTTGCATTGAAGTATTGGACTCACTAATAGACACCTCATAGTGACAACGTAGTGACGTATACAAAAAAGCATTTTTGTACTTTCGCATTCTTAAACTTCAATGTGTAGGACGTTAAGTGTACTAGGGTCATCATTGATTGGTTTTTGAGAACTTCACGTGTATCAAAGAGATAGTTATGTGATAACTTGACGCATTTTTATATGCGCAGAAACGTTAATTTAATCACCCAAGAAATAAAAATATTAATTATATTCATATTTTTTCTTTCGTCTGAAACAAGCTACAAAACACATAATTAAATTATTTTCTAGCAGTCTGATAGTTCTAACTATATGAGCTTAATTTGAAAGTTTACTGCGGGTGTACCTAATGAAAGACTGATGTTAAATTAAAATGAAAAACGTGTAAATAATGGACACCAAGAGAAACTGTTGTAAGGAAAAATAATTAAATTCTGTTTGTTTTTAAGTATTATTATTACAAGGTGTTAGTGACTACACACGATGTTGCTGCAGCCTCGCTAGATTTTTTTATTGAATTCAATTGATTCGTACTTATGAAAGTTTAACAGGATGGCTTGCTTTTCGATTAATTTAATTTGCTCTGGCATTATTTTTTTATCGTAAAGGTGCTACAAAAAACAAATAATGGTAAGAAAATAATATCCTTATGACTTTAATATTACGAATGATAAAGTAATACAAATTTCACGCTATACAACCTATGAACAATTACTGTTAAAAAAAATTGTAAAACTAAAAATACACACCCGTGCTACAAAAATTTAACAATTAAGAGTGTAATAAAACACATTTTTGTAGGCTTTAATGAATAGTTATTATTGTGTAATGCGAAATGATAGACAAGAAATATTTGAATACCAGTCTATTTATGAAAAGACAACATTTTTCTTAAATACCTTAATTAGATAAATATACATTTTCTTAATACAAAATTATACATGTGTGTACCAGTAATTAAAAATCTAATTTTAGAGTTGCACCAATTATATCTTATTTAAATAAATTTATTTTAAATTGAAAATAAAATAAGAAAGATATCAATAATAAATAGTAAGGCTAACAATTAAAAGCTAATTCAATAAAGTAAATAATGATTAAATTTTAATTAAATTGTAATACATTACTTTTATGAATTATTTCATAGATTTTAGTAAATTGTACATTAAAATTCAAGGGCTTTCTCAGTAAAAAAATATTTTTATTTGACCGACCCTTATTTTAGATATCATTTTAAAATAATAGCTATGTTATAATGGATCTATAATGAAATTATGGTTTTATTGTGGCCATACTCATTAAAGTTATAATTTTTTTTATTGATTTTAATTTTAACATATATTAATAAAATGTAATATATGTTAATGCATTTTGCTTTAAAATAAAATTATTGACATTTTTGATTAATTTTAATTAAAAATATTTTGAATTGCCTATTGTCTGAATAACGCCTCAATTGTTATTATAAAAAAAAAATATTTGATCATATATGTTAAAAAAATACATAGTTCCATGTTGGCTGAAATAAATGTTTTGGCAACAAATTTTCTTTTACAGTTTAATCATAAAAAAGCTTTGAGATTTAATTTGACTGTGCTAATTTACAATTTCTTATTTTAGTGATTGAGTGTCGCAATTGTATTTTAGTGTATTGTTATTTAATTAATATTTTGTGATGACGCTAACAAAGCTAACATTTGTTCTAGCGCTTTTTTTTATAATCTTTTTTATTTCTTGGAATGTATTCGTCAAAGGATTTGTCTTTATTTTAGTGGTCTCAGAAGTTTTGAACAGAGATAATAAAAAAGCTCGAGTTAGTATTGATTAACATAATAAATAATATTGACATTTAAATCTTATCAATTAATTTAACTCGTTATTAAATTTATTTGTTCCTAAAGCGTTCAAACAATGTATCAAAGCTTAGCATAAAAAAGTTGCCACAAATTTCAGTTATAGACAACGAAAACAGTTGTGAATTGTCTGATAAACAGTTGTGTACGTCAAGTGGATCACGAACATCGCTTCCTTTATCAAAATTTAACTCAACATTATTACAACCCTCACCGTCATTACAACCATTTATTGTTACTTCACCTCCACCACCACCACTTCCATCACAATCAACAATTTGTAATAAATCATCTCCACCGCTATTACCAGTATCAATTCCATTACCACCGCCACCTCCACCTCCACCTCAACCATTACCAATCCCAATTCCATTACCACCACCACTTCCCCTAATGAGACCTGAGACCGCACCTAGTTTATTAAAAAAGGTCAAAATGAAGACGATAAATTGGACTAAAGTTAAAAGTAACAACCTAGAGAACTCTTTTTGGTCAACACTGNTAGTTCTAACTATATGAGCTTAATTTGAAAGTTTACTGCGGGTGTACCTAATGAAAGACTGATGTTAAATTAAAATGAAAAACGTGTAAATAATGGACACCAAGAGAAACTGTTGTAAGGAAAAATAATTAAATTCTGTTTGTTTTTAAGTATTATTATTACAAGGTGTTAGTGACTACACACGATGTTGCTGCAGCCTCGCTAGATTTTTTTATTGAATTCAATTGATTCGTACTTATGAAAGTTTAACAGGATGGCTTGCTTTTCGATTAATTTAATTTGCTCTGGCATTATTTTTTTATCGTAAAGGTGCTACAAAAAACAAATAATGGTAAGAAAATAATATCCTTATGACTTTAATATTACGAATGATAAAGTAATACAAATTTCACGCTATACAACCTATGAACAATTACTGTTAAAAAAAATTGTAAAACTAAAAATACACACCCGTGCTACAAAAATTTAACAATTAAGAGTGTAATAAAACACATTTTTGTAGGCTTTAATGAATAGTTATTATTGTGTAATGCGAAATGATAGACAAGAAATATTTGAATACCAGTCTATTTATGAAAAGACAACATTTTTCTTAAATACCTTAATTAGATAAATATACATTTTCTTAATACAAAATTATACATGTGTGTACCAGTAATTAAAAATCTAATTTTAGAGTTGCACCAATTATATCTTATTTAAATAAATTTATTTTAAATTGAAAATAAAATAAGAAAGATATCAATAATAAATAGTAAGGCTAACAATTAAAAGCTAATTCAATAAAGTAAATAATGATTAAATTTTAATTAAATTGTAATACATTACTTTTATGAATTATTTCATAGATTTTAGTAAATTGTACATTAAAATTCAAGGGCTTTCTCAGTAAAAAAATATTTTTATTTGACCGACCCTTATTTTAGATATCATTTTAAAATAATAGCTATGTTATAATGGATCTATAATGAAATTATGGTTTTATTGTGGCCATACTCATTAAAGTTATAATTTTTTTTATTGATTTTAATTTTAACATATATTAATAAAATGTAATATATGTTAATGCATTTTGCTTTAAAATAAAATTATTGACATTTTTGATTAATTTTAATTAAAAATATTTTGAATTGCCTATTGTCTGAATAACGCCTCAATTGTTATTATAAAAAAAAAATATTTGATCATATATGTTAAAAAAATACATAGTTCCATGTTGGCTGAAATAAATGTTTTGGCAACAAATTTTCTTTTACAGTTTAATCATAAAAAAGCTTTGAGATTTAATTTGACTGTGCTAATTTACAATTTCTTATTTTAGTGATTGAGTGTCGCAATTGTATTTTAGTGTATTGTTATTTAATTAATATTTTGTGATGACGCTAACAAAGCTAACATTTGTTCTAGCGCTTTTTTTTATAATCTTTTTTATTTCTTGGAATGTATTCGTCAAAGGATTTGTCTTTATTTTAGTGGTCTCAGAAGTTTTGAACAGAGATAATAAAAAAGCTCGAGTTAGTATTGATTAACATAATAAATAATATTGACATTTAAATCTTATCAATTAATTTAACTCGTTATTAAATTTATTTGTTCCTAAAGCGTTCAAACAATGTATCAAAGCTTAGCATAAAAAAGTTGCCACAAATTTCAGTTATAGACAACGAAAACAGTTGTGAATTGTCTGATAAACAGTTGTGTACGTCAAGTGGATCACGAACATCGCTTCCTTTATCAAAATTTAACTCAACATTATTACAACCCTCACCGTCATTACAACCATTTATTGTTACTTCACCTCCACCACCACCACTTCCATCACAATCAACAATTTGTAATAAATCATCTCCACCGCTATTACCAGTATCAATTCCATTACCACCGCCACCTCCACCTCCACCTCAACCATTACCAATCCCAATTCCATTACCACCACCACTTCCCCTAATGAGACCTGAGACCGCACCCAGTTTATTAAAAAAGGTCAAAATGAAGACGATAAATTGGACTAAAGTTAAAAGTAACAACCTAGAGAACTCTTTTTGGTCAACACTGGATCCCGTTGATTGTGCTATTGATTCTAATAATATTATTGAATTATTTGGTGAAAAACAGCGACCCCAGACAACTCCCTCGACTAATAAGAATAATACTCTTAAGCCTTCTGCTATTAACATACTAAATAATAAAAGAAGTCTTACTATAAATATTATTTTAAAACAACTTAAGTCAGAGCCAATTGTATTTCTAAAGAATTTCGAAGATGGTAATGTAATTTCTGTCGACAAATTAGAAATAGTCAAAAGAATATTACCCATTAATGACGATGTAAAATTGATAAAAAAATACGGAGGAGATAGAACAGTTCTTGGAATAGCAGAAAAATTTTGTCTGATGCTTAGTGAAATACCATACTATGAATTAAAAATAGACTTAATGGTTTTAGAAGAAGAATGGCCTTTAATGTATTCAAAAGTCCTTGATAATTTAAAAGGTTATCAAGAAATATGCTGTTTTTTGGTTGCCGAACATTCGTTAACTCAATTTTTTTCCATCATATTACTTTTGGGAAATAAATTAAACGCAGTAAGTTAAAAAATGTATCTTGAATACTTTTTATATTTTTTTTTTTTAATTTGCAAAGCTTTTCTAGGAAATTTCGTTTGTAAAATAAAAGTTTAAAAACATTAATGTGTTATTTCACTAATTTTCGAAATCTAGCACTTTATACTAATATAAAATTTGTAACAACAAAATTCAAAATCAATCCGTCTACATAAGATCTAAGTCTGAATTAAAAAATTAATTTTTAAATTATAGCTGTATAATATATACAGCAATCGTTATTAAGTTTTAAATATGAAATAAAAAAATATAGGTCATTATATTTTCTACAAATATTTTTGTTTTTTCCCTCTAAATTTTATGTTTAAAATTACATAAATTAAGGAAAGTACTTTAAAAGTCTCTGTACTAGATTTCACGAGATATTTTTTATATATTAACAATTAAATAACTATATATCGTTACACAAGAATTACGTACTATGAAATTTATTAAATTCTTTTTTGGAAATTTATATGTCAGGGTAAGTGTACTAACATTTCTGTATATAATATTAGCGAAATGTATCATAACAGAATTTATTTTAGAGTTTATCTATCTTGTATACACATATAATTCTTATTCATTTCTATCATTCATTCATTTTTGATCATTTAATTTTGATAAATTTAATTAAGTATACAATAATAATTGATAGGCCCAATTTTGTTTTTTTTTGAACTCCCATAATCATTTGATTAGAAATGAGTGATTACAAACTTACTGTACACTCTGCAATAACACATGAAAGATCTGCATATTGTACTAATTTGATAATAACAAGATATATACTGATTTCTAATAACAGAATATTCTGTATATTAAAATGTACTGGTTGATACTTTACGAACCTATATAAATTTTAATTTTTAGTGAAACATGTTGATGGAGGCCTCGCACTTCAGAGAAGTATTAGTAGCCTGAAGTTAATAGATTTTTATTAATATTGGTTTTTTATAAAGTTAAAGTACAATTTAAAAAAATGTGCTAATATTAATGTGTCATTTTTAGGGAAGTTACGCTGGTGTTTCAAATGGTTTTACACTAGACAATTTGCCAAAATTATTAGATGTTCGTTCTAACAAGCCAAAAATTACTTTTATCCATTTAGCTGTTGAACTGGCTCTGAAGCATCACAATAATTTTAATTTTATGAAATATTGTTCTTCTTTGAGAAAATTATTAAAAACTCCTATGGAGTTACTAGAAAATGACTTGAATACTTATACGTATAAAATAAAAACATATCTTGCTGAAATAAAAACAGATGCTTGTTCTACACACATTAAAACACAATTAAAGGAATTTATTTACCAGGTTAGTAAAGATAATGACGTGTTAAATGATAATTATAAAGCAACAACGGATGCTATTCAAAGTGTAGCTAAACATTTCGGCGAAGACTTAAAAACTTTTAAGATTAATGAGTGTTTTACTATACTGTTAAATTTCTTTGAACAAATTGAAGTAATTATTAAAGAAATCGAAAGCAAATTAGTTTGCAAAAAAACTCAAGAACAACGCAATAAAAAAGGCAAGGAAGCAAACACGCTAGTTAGTATGACAAGAGTTAGAGGTACACCAACAAGATTTAAAGAAAAACTACAAGAGATATGCTATTAATATAAAGTAGTGCTTTTCACTTGAAAAGTATCATATAACAACTTTATTTAAAGAAAATAAATTATTAATCCACTTTTTAATTAAGATAAATAATCACATTTCTATAATTATAATTTAGTAAAAATAAAATACACTGTTTCAAGATTAAATATTTTGTGAATTTAAACAAGTTATATTTATTTCTGTGCAATAAACATACATATACAAAGTGTCCCACCAGATAATATCTTCTTTAATAACTTTTGATCCAACGATTATTTACGATACTTTTTACAACTCTTGAATATGTAAAAAGCAATATTTGTCTTTAATAAAAGAAAATATATTATTATTATTATGATTTTATTTCTTTTCCGAAAAAAAATTACCCTTTATATAAATTCTTTATAATATCTTTCCAAACGCTATATTAAAATCGGTAGCACAGTGGGTTCGCAATACAATGTAGACGTGGCATAGTTATTGTTGAGAAAAAGTGGCAACAGACTAAAATAAAAAACATCGTAGGAAAATGAATAACTCCTCAACTTCGCATCGAAACTAAAAATATTCATTAGGGTTAGGATATAATTCGCTTAAGTTTTTAATAGGTTTCAAGAAATATTTTAATAACTTTTTGTTCTGTTGTATCTTCAAAGTTAATTTATTTTCCATGTCTTATTGACTTACCTACTTTTAGTAAAATAATTTATTGTGTAGCAATTAAAACCACCATAAAAGTTATTAATGGTGTGCAAATGATTGCTAAACATTTAACTTGAGTATATTTCAATTTAGTGCTGTTTTATAGTTGTTTTTATGAATTTACAATGTAGGTAAATTATAATACCACAACTCATAATAAGAATCAGAAGCAAAATATAAGCTGAAGTCCACAAGACGGCTACTACCTTCGAGGACAAATCATATTCTTAAATTTTTGTGAAATATATGATCATTCAAACGATTGTATAGCATGAATCACATGAAAAAACATTCTTGAGTGTAGGAGTTATTTAACATAACAATGATTTCTAAAGTGATATTTTACAAGAATTCGATAAATGCGAAAGTTATTATTACTTAGTGATAATTAAAATATGCAAACTCGGATTTGATTTTTTTAAAAAATACTCTTTCGTTAAAAAATTAGTTGAAATTAGATATCGATCCACAGAATTGCAATTGAAATTAATCTTTCAAAGTCAATCCGTATATCTATAAAAATCGTTTCGTAATAGAAATAGTATTATTTTTACTAGGCGATATCTCGTTGTATTTTATTGGATTATTATTATTTTAATTTATTATACAAGTTTATCATCCTGGTGGGTATTTCAATACACTTCTGATCTTAGACCGCTAATCGCAATAAAAGTGAAGGATATATTGTCTTCACGGATCATTTATTAGTTATACATTATAAAAATTGATCAGCTCAACGACCTCCATTAATATCACATTTAAACATTTTCATGCCTGAACATACTCGTAATTAAGTCAAATGGCTAATTACCTAACAATATTATATTAGCTTGACTTATACGAATTATATTATCAGATACACGTTTATGTTATAAACAATCAACCTTGGCGAGCCTACGACTAGGTTACCAAAATAAAACCCAGCAATTAATATTTGCCAACTGATATATATATATCACGCACGTATGTTTGAAATATTTAAATATTAAAAAGCGTGAAAATATTTGCTTTAAAAATACGCCAAGTTAAATGAAAATATTTACAGTTATTGCAAATTATAATGATTCGGTCGAGATTCGATTACATACATACGCGCACTGCTCTAGTTTTTAAAACCAAGTTGTTAAGGTTCAGTAATCAAACCATATAGGGAAGAAAACTAGAAACCACTACTGTATTTAACTCTCTGATTGTTCATTAAACAACAATGATTGATCCTTGTAATATATTATTTATACAATTATATATAATTATAGTTCTATTTACAAACGCTAAAAAATAATTAATGAAACTCTTATCACTAACTTTCTAAATCTTAAATAAATTACTATGAGTATGGATTTTGTTTTATTTTCAACTAATTTTAAAAGGTCAATCAAAATAATTCCACAAAGGACTTAATTCAATTTTATAAAAACTTTAAGGAAATAATTTTAAAAAGTTTAAGAACACGCAAATAAAGAAGATTACTTATTTATTTATTCCATTAAGAGAATTTATAAAATACCATTTTCATAAACTTTGATATTTTTAATGATTAATTAGTGATAAGTAAAGTAATACTAAGACTTTGAAAGTCTCTGCCTTGGTATTAGTTATATTTTTGTTGACTCAATCTCGATCTTTTTTCGAAAATCCATTCTTAGTCTTGATTTTATTTTTGTTTTAGTATTACTCTATTAATGGTTTTAGTCTTGCAAAGTTTTACTACTTTTTTAAAAACTTGTGTAAAGGTTACTTATTTAATTATGTTTAAGTGATGTTCTTAGGAGCATCGTTTATGTCAAAATTAACATTAATTATTGTTAATGTTAGTCTTGCATTTCTGTAAGATTCCATTTTGCTCATTGCTACAACTATAAGTTCATATTTAACTTTTACTCACAATTGATCTAAATAATTACAATACTATATTGCACGATTCCAATTTTAATAACTACTGTTTAATGAATATTGTCGATTTATGTTAATTATAATTAACGGTTTAATATATCAACTAAAATCTTTAATATTCAAGGTAACAATAGGAATCGAATTTATTTAAAATATTTCAAGGGTAAATGATACACGGTTATATGATATTTATGACATACAGGTGGATGGTCGGAATAAGCGGACTTTAAATAAAGAAAAAGTAAAATTTATAATATTTATGACTACAGGAAATGACAAATAGTTCTGAAAAGTACAGCAAATGAGTGGTTTAATGACTAAAAAACTATTAGTAAAACGTGGGCGTATAATATTTATGTGAGTTAAAAACTTGGATAAAAAAATGTATTGAAACTACGTCAACGGTGAAGTGCAGCGGAAAACTGCAACGATTGAAGATATTTTAGGCGATGAAGAGTGATGGCCGTCGAAGAATAACGTCCTCGACGGTACGACCAACAATCACAAAACCGATCAATCGTTATCACCGGCATCGATTTAACTAATAGTATAAATAAATTGACGTGGTAAGTATCCAAGAAACGTGATGTACTTAGTCGATAAAACTCGAGTGAATCGTGCGATTATTCAAACATCGTACGGGTTTTAAACTAGTTTATAAATATATCACCTATTGTTTAACTACCCCGAGACAGTAAAAAGGTCGAGGTCAATCGGTAAAAAATATTTATGTAAAGCTTACGGGTTATATTTACAACGCGAACAAGAATCAATGACGAGTTTACCATTAGTGATTTGTAAAAACAGCGAATTCCTGTAATAATCTGATAAAATAGTAAAAATCAAGAAATTCAAAAATTGCATGCCCAG